ATATGACAGGGACGAAAAAACATGGGTTGTTAAAACTTCGCGGCGCTTGCCGCATGATTCGCTAAAAATCTGCAATCACGTGATCTCTCGATGGAGGGGTGCGGGAAGAGGATTAACGGACGGACAATGAACGGGCGATCCTGCTTGAATGGCGTGCTGAAGCGCACTCGAAACCGAGCCGAACAATTCACGCGTAATTCTCGTAACTGCGATATTCGCGTTTCGCTGCGATTTCCGTCTCGACGAGGTCGGATTTGGCTTTCCTGCCTGTTTCAAAGATCTTACTCAAGGCTCTCAGCGTGATCCGAATCGCGGAGAATTCGATTCATACATTTTGCAAAATAATAAACTTCTGTTCTACATTCCACTCGATGTTTCGCCTCCCTGTTTACCATTCATCTATTTATCATTCACTTTAACGTCTCGTCATACAATTATTTAAATTGTCGCGTTATTACATTATCCGCCCGAAAGGAGGCTAGAATATGTATAATCGGTTCCAATTTTAGCACGCGTGATATTTACACGCGGCACAAACCGAGGAAAAACAATACCTTCCGTCTTTTAATGCCGTGCACACTTTTTCGTGTCGATTATTTAAATGAAAATCTTAAAAAGTTATGTGCATTGCGGCGCAGAAGGGGGATTAGATCATTATTTCCTTGACAATCACAGTAACGGGGAGGGGGAAATAAAAGGAAATAAGGCTCACAATCTATGTATATAATGCCACCTCAACTTCGTGGGACACCCGGTACATGTTGCATTAAGCACTGTGCGACGCTGCCCCGCGACTAATTGGGAGCGGTTAATGAGGTGACGCATTTTTATTGTTCTTCCGGCTTGTTAAGCGACCTGTTTGCTTCCGTAACACGTACGCCGGGAGCCCCGGGAAGGCGCAGGGATAGCCGGGGAATCCCGCGGATATCCTGAAATTGTCCCGAATACCCCGCGCGAATCCCGGAAACGCCGGCGGAATATTTTTCGCGGCTTTGCCGACCCGGCGGATTATCGACATCGGCGCTACACACGTGCGTTTATTCGCACACGCGTCTCCGTTTAAATAAACGGGGCTGAGCGAATTCATAATTAAATCGGCTTGATAAATAGAAATAAATGGGTGGCAAGACGGTACCGTTATCAACGGACACGCCGAGCGAAATAATTTAGCTCATAAAATATTACGCGGAAGATGAATCTTACACAGAACATGAATTAACTCACCGAGTAATATTTTTGAATGAATTAAGTTGGAAAGTTAAATCGTCAAAGACACACGGCAGTTATGTATTCTTTGAAAATATGAAGGTACGCGATATCTGTGATTGGTTTTACTCCAAGATATTAATACTTCCTTACAAAAATTGAAATAATTATTATCTAAGTCTTTTGTTAGACATTTTAATGCAATATAACAAATACGTACAGGTGTAGACACAAAAGTTATTATAGAAAAACTACAAACAGTTGTCATGTTAAAAATATTGAAAAATTGAAATAATATTCTAATAAATGGACACGAACGCAAGGCTTGATTGGTTTTTATGTAGAGCTAAATGATCTGTTTGTTAAAACTGAATTGACATTTTCATCTCTGAATGGCATGCAATTTTGAATGTTATTTCAATCACCCTTTTAATATAGAGTTTCAGCTTGCCGATTCATATACCTATACAATTGATATTTTCTACTTTTGTGAGTCAATTCATCTCTGCATAAAACTGTCTATTTACAATTCGCTCTATTTTATCCGTCTATTTTCAGCATTATTATAAAAATCGATCATTTTGTGGCTGTGCACATTCCACAGAACTGAATATGTCAAAAATGATAATATAAATTCACGGAGAGTTGAGACTTTATTGTTAAAATATTTCAGGTTGGTATGACAAATTTCCGAAACGAGATATGTAATCAAATTTTCACTAGAAAGGACCAGAATACGAGTCAGCTATTCGTCGGATAAATATAAATTCATAAACGAGAAGATATGCCATGCCTAATGGCAATTCGTATAAATATTTTATAAGCTATGTTATGTGCAAAACGATGTTTTCGATACCTCGTCTCTTCTGTGAACGTAATATAACTAAACCGTCTAACGTGATTAATGCGTGATATAAAATGTTTGAATTTCTACCTACAACACGCAGTGATTATTTTTGCAATTTCATATTTTGTGTTCCAATGAAATTAAATTTAAAAACTGACTCCGAAGTTACAATACACGTATTTAAAGATTTCATGGTTTGAGTCACATCGGAGGGAAGCTGGGACATCATATACGATAAAAATAATAAGCAAAATCGCGCGAGAGAATTTCAGTATTGCACAATGCATTCTAAGTTTGTGTGGGTGTGTTTTTTTTTCCTTTTTGAAAGTGGCTTTTGACGCATGATATTCGGTGAGAAGACCTCGCACAGACTGGAATTCTGGTCAGGATGAGGACGCGGGAGATTGACGGCTGCATTAAAAGGGCGACAGGCGAAAGATCTGAAAAATCCAACGCGCAGATATTACGCGGCGTTCTCGAGATGTCGTGTGTTTTTCTATCGTGTTCCGCGAGACTTTGCCCTCCAAAATTTGATTCAATTGCGCGAACGGTAGTTTATCTTAGATGTATGTCCAATATATGTTCGATTCCACGGACGATTCCCGCACTGTCCCGCCGAAAATTTTCATAAAATTTTTCCATATTTGCAGACACATGTCCAATAATAATTTCACGTATACATAATACAATATAGGTACTCATAATATAGTATATATATTGACAATTTCAACCCATTTGTTTCCGTTTTATCAAGGGTTGCTAGCTTGAATGTGACATCAGGTTCCAGTTTTCTTCAAAAGAAGCTATCTTGATGTTTAATCATTTCGTTACACACAGATATATACTCGTATATATATATATATATATATATATAACTCATAAGATGGTTAATTCATGATAGCATTCCACTCAATTTCTTGAGCTACGACGATTCGATCTTTCTTACGAGCGTATCCTCAATTTCAGTTTGTATACGCGATATTCTTTTATTTTATAGAAGATTTTTAGAGAATAATTTGAACATCGTTTCTTTACAAATGAAATAATTTTATTCCCTTAGAAATTATATCAGTTCTTAATAAGCATTAGAACTGTGTATTCAAGCGCTATAATATTATTATTACAGTACCTCAATTAATTTTAATTCCTGCAGTATATATTATAGAATCATTTTGATGTTTAGGTTGTTCACCCTTGTTCTACGTAAATGTATGCTTACGTAGCGTTTACTGTACAAAACAAAGTTTAACTAATCTGTGAAACTGTTTCATGTTTAGTTTGTTATACCTAAAGTTTGCACGAAAATTAATTTTAATATGATTGAATATTTCAGTTATTTACAATTTACTCTTAATACATCTTAAATATATTTACTTTTAGCCATCTCTTCTCTTTTAATTCAGTGTATCCTTTGAAAGACTAGAAACAATAAACTTTAGCATAAATTGGATATTATCTCTTGGAAATAATATATTTCAAGATCAATTTTTAATTGGCAAAAGGAGGCGCAAAAGTTACCGTCTAATTATGCATCAAAATTGATATTTGCATTATTTGTATCGAAATCATCTTTACTGCGATCTTAAGACCTCAAAATTGCGGCGTTGTGAACGACCGAAAATTGGCATCAATTAAATTGGCACACTCGGAAAATAGTCGAACCGTTCCTTTTGTCTTCCGCCGAAAGAGGAGGGAAGCGAAAAAGAGAAAGAAGAGGTGGGGCGCAGAGCTGGCAAAAGGAGAAAAGGAAAGGTACGCGACTTAGTTCGTGAAAAGGTATCGACGTTTGCCACGAAACTATCTGTCGTGGATAATGCATCAGCTGTTAGAGAATGCTCTACCATTCCTTTTTTTTTCTTGCGGCGAAATACTTCCCGTGTCGACCATTGTGCCAGATTACTGAAAACACAGCCTGAATTAAATTCTTAACCAATGCGGGAGAAAGAACGCCCTTCTTGACGACGCTATTAAAGTTTTAATACATGGTCCGTTGCTCACGAAGATAGAAATCTTCATAGAGAAAGTATTATATAATTTACGGCTAGAAATTTATTCGATATATTCAAACATGTATGTATCTTTTCTAAATTTGTGTCTAAAACACTTTTATGTGTATGACAATTCCATATTGACGCGCAAACTTATGCAAAAGAGACGCGACGCTCTAAATCGCATAAGCGACTTAAAGAAGACAAACAATTCCATAAATCACCCCATGTCTTCAATGTTCCTCGATAATTTATATATTTTCTCGATATTTATATATTTATATAATTTATATATTATATTATAGTGTCGTTATTACACGAGATCGACTCTTAAAATGGTCCGTCAAGGCACACAAGGAACCTTCACGTGCGCAATACGATGCAATTACGGGGGTTTTTTTTTTATTCCGCGTGTGTATCTCGCGCAAGTTAACTTCCGCAAACATGCGACCGCTCGTGAATTCACGGTCACGTTCCGCGCGTAAAATACGTTCTCGGCGCTTTCGGGTTTATACATCGAGTTTAGGGTTCGTCGGCACCTTAAGGCCGGGATAAAGCGGTCCTTTGAATGAAACTCCTCTCACTGGAAGATTTATACGCGCCGCGCTGGGAAAAATCGAGCAGATAAGATAAGATGGTGCAACTACGTGCCAAAGAACACCGGGCTCTACTTTGAGTAGATTGTTGGCAAATTCATACAAATACGTGAGATAGCTTCATAGCGCCAGGCGCTACATACGGCGCCGTGTATACGTATAACGAATTTATGGCGTATCAGTGTTTGGGGAGGCTCAATTTTTCGCAGAAACGCAATCTTCATGCAATATACGCAAAGATGCATAAAGATATTCTTTCGCGTCCTATGTAACAGATATGTAATAGATGAAGAAATACGTCCAGGTGCTTCATTATTTTACGGAAGGGATGTTTGTATGAAGTGTAAAAAATTGGAAAGTTACCAGTCGTTGCCCGTTTTGGAGACGTTCTGCCGCTTGCGTCCAGTTTGGTGAGGCTTTGGCTCGGCCACCATATTCACGTCTGAAAGCACAACGGTCCCTTGGTTAGTAAAAAAGAAGGAAAACGAGCAAAAAAAAAAGGAAAATAGGAGAAATGCCAGGCGACACGTTAATCGTCACATTTTGAGGATTCGTATAAAGTTACGTTTATCTTTCATTAAGTACTATAATTGTACCACCCGTTAACATGACTAGAGCTAATTAATAAAAAATTCAAGTCCCTCTCGAGTTTATCTTAAACCCGATAAAATGTGAAGCAAATATTGATTTTACCTGCGCCATATGGAAAAGAAATAAATCAAGCCTGAGAAACCTCGTCGCGCTCGTTTCCATATTTTGTTAAACACTCGCGACTTATCCAGGCGTATCGACGTTTGCATATCACTTAAAAAAATAAAGGAGTCGCATAATAAATTGTGAATAAATGAATGGATTGTGCGCGGATCGCGGGTATCGACTCGCGGACACGCGGGGGGCTTGCGCGGCGATAATAAACGCAAAGTGCGCTCTCATCGTTGCGCTGCACCGCTCCGCAGTCCGCCCGCGGCTTACGCGGATTAATAAAACGAAGACGGCGACGGCGAAGCGCGAAGTTTCCGCTCAGCGTTTCCGCAAACAGTTATTAATTTCGCTTGCCTTTGAGCCGGCCCGTAGCGAGATTGATAATGAATGCGCCGCGACGTCGCGCGGCGGGCGATCAAGCGACAAGGATTTCGCATTCTTCTTCTTGTTTTCGTCGCGGCGGTAAACTGAGACGGTCGCCGGTATTCAACGTACAGAGTGATTCAAAAGTCGCGCAACAGGTGTGCAGGGGCTATTGATCCGCGAGCGCGCCGTTCCGCGCTGCGGCGGGCTCGCGATCGCGTACGCGCGATAAATTCTCCGGACGTCATGCGGCGCGTGACAGGTACGCAGATCCAGAAGTCGCCAACTGCACGGAGTCATTAGGCGCTGCGAGCAATACGTACGTTGTGACAAACGCGATTGCGTTCCCCGCGCGGGAGGGACGAGGAATCGAGTTACGAGTTGTAACTTACAACTGGCCCGAACGATTAACGTTGACAAACGCCAAGATGCCGCGGGATGACGATACGTTGCGCACTCCTGAAATCGAGGGTGTTTAGAGATATCGAGAGAGGAAGAGCGCCAAAGAATGAAGATAGCGATACCTGCCGGGGGGCAAGAAGACGGAACGGCAGAACCGATAAGGAAGGAAGTGTCAAGAGAAGGGTGGTGGAGGAAAAAGGGTAAAAAAGAGGGAAGGCAAGGAAGGCGGAAAAAGCGATAGAGCGAGGAAAAACTAATATGAAAGAGAAGAAACAGCTCTCCAATTCGATGAAGTTGTTCTTCTATTCTTGCGGCGAGGCGGAAGAAGTGCAACAAATGAAAGTTGAACGGACAATAGGAAAATTAATTGTTAAAAAAAGAATTAAAGTTGCATAAAGTAAGTGCGTAAAAAAAAAACGAGGCAGAATTATGTATCGAGTGTTAATTTCCTTCGTAGACTAAGTTAACTGGAAATCGAAGTGTTAAAACGATTAAAGTAAGGAGCCAATAGATTTCTTTTCAATTTGAATTCGATACCCGCGATTGTCACGGCTGAAGTCTCCCGTAACACAATCATAAATTCAGGCGCACACCTACCCTCCCGACACAAATCACTTCATCCCGAAAACATTTTCCATCACGCCCGCGTTACTCCTGCAAGACGTTTGCTCGTATCCGTGTCGCTAACTTCCGGACGTTCCGCAAACCGTTGAGGCCCTGTAGCACACCCCCTACCCACCGTTCCTTCGCCATTCCAGCCCTCCTCGCAGAGGGGTTGGTTTGTGGATGTTCCTTGTTAGAGTAGCGGGCTGATTCCGTTGTGTGCGCAGCGGTGCGCTTCGTCCTTTGTGTGAGCTAACCAAACACCCCCCCTTCTCTCAGCGCCACCGCCCTGTGCCTTATCCTCATCCCCTTCATCCTTCTGCTCCTCCATTATCGCGGCTACTTGCGCAAATTGTTTACACGTCGGTCCGCGAGCATTTCATGAGGCCGTCCGAAAATTGATGATTTGGTAGATGTTTGTTGCACTTTGAGGAGGTGGGGCAGAAAGGGTTGATTTATTAGAGAAAGAGGAGAGCCGGGAGTATTTCGCGAAGCCGCTCAAGACGCCGGATAAGATCGCTTCAAGAGCTTAAAGCAAAGTCGATTCTCGGTTTCACGCGAATACCGAAATTTGCTTTGTACAGCTGCATTCTCACTTATTGTCCCGCAAAACTATAAATTTTGCTCGCGGGGGCGAAAGTAAAATTTGCGTCAACGCCAGTCGGCCGATTGTGCTCTTAGAACGCTCTATTATAATCAATGAAATTCAGATCAATAGGAACTGGCGAGCGCAGATATGCGCTTATTGCGATGCAGTAATCACCTCGTGCATTCTTTAACAATTTTATCGAGATTCCGCAATTCACGGTGTGCTTTCGTACAGTATTTTCCAAGCCCGCGTCTGCTCGCGTCATTTTTTGACAGTTACGTATCCAATTGATTGCGTGAAAGAACGTGCCCAAGAACGTGTAGGCGCACCGGTAGTCGGAAAATTCGAGTGCTCTCTCGCGCGTGAACCAAGTGTGAACTCCGCTCTCCCCGTTTATAATGCAATGAAGCTGTGCAATCGCTCGTCGCGGTGCACCGGCAAGCCAATTGTTTTTCTCTTGATTTAATTTCCCGCGGATCGAAATGCCCGCGAACGCGGATTGATTTATTGGTAATCCACTTGTACGCGCGGCGGAAGAGAAAATTCCGGGCGTCAAGGGGTTAAATGCAGCGCGGCGGAACGAAACTCCCGACATTCGCCACCGCGACGCAGCTAATCGTTGCGGGCGTCGGCGTCGCCGCGAAGTTTAGTCGATACGCGGGTGTACGCGGATGCAGTAACGCGCGCGAGAGAAAGAGAGAGGGGCGGGTGGGAGAGAGCAGTGACACAGAGAACGAGAAAGAGAGACGCGGAGAGAGAACAGAGGAGAAGGAGAGAGAGAGAGGAAGTCGAGTATCGATGTCATCTCCAGTGCGCGGTTGAAGGGTGATTCCTATATCGCGTTGTGAATTGTTCCTCGAACTAACCGCCCGGCGGTTGAGCGAGCGACAGCGAGCGCGAGAGCGGGAACGAGAGCGAGCGCGAGCGCGAGCGCGAGCGAAGCTGAGCGGAGTCTGTAACAGGCAGCGACGCTAATGGAATATGACAACGCGAGGCGAATAATAATCGGCCGTTTCTCCGTCGCCGAACTTCGTAATAAAACGAGCATTGTCCGTGACGTTTCGTCGCCGACAGCGTCGCGACGTCACGGCGGACGTCGCGCCGCCGCGCCGCACCGCGCCGCGCCGCGCCGCTCGCGGATTTTTCGCGGTGTTTTTCGCGGTGTTTGCGCGTTCGTATCAATGACCCGTAGCATTGACGCACTCGATAACAATGTAATCGATTCGGTGGATCGCTCTGCGAAATTTTCCCGTTATCTGAAGTAAATTTTTCCTTAAAATCAACGGACTGTTTTTTTTTACTGCGTGACTTTTAAGCGTGGACCCGCATTTTCGAAAAATTTTGCGAGTGTGTTAATGTAATGTTCGAATAAAATTAATCTGTGTCAATATGCCTTCGTCTCAAGCAAAAAGAACTGATTATAGTACTAGGTATAATTTTCAATAAGGCGTTTTAACAGTCGTTGAAAAATATTGTCATCGCGGATTTAGATGGAATTTAATGAAATTGTAACTATTTTTATGTACTGACCGATTCAAATAAATAACTAAGTTAGTTTAGACACGTTGTACAATTTTTATCCTTACAAAACTTCAAACATTTAATTTCAAGCATTTTTGCCCCAACAGATATACAATTTAAGAATTAATGCCGCACAGCGATTTGATATTGAAAATTTTAAAACAGATAATATCATCCTCGATAATTGGGAGAAAATAAATTAAAAATACATCGCGGAAGACGGAAGCTTGGAGAAAAATTGCGATATTTTATTATGAATTGAAATGCATTTTTTATTATTTTCAAATTGAGATCTCATTACTTCACTATTTCAGTTTCTATATGTTGCAATCTGTATAAATTAATTGTCTGCTACAATTTGTGCATCTATTAATTACAAACATATTTCGATATCATGTAGCTTATACGATTTGTGCTAACATATATTAAATTTTATCGTAATGACAATTTATATCGTAACTGTTCTTTTCGTCTGAATCCGCAACTGAGTACGAGGGAAAAGAGCCCCTCATTTCATTCACAAAATTGTGATAACTAACCACTCGAGTGCATATAAAATTCAAATATTTTTCTATATGTTTAAAGAACGCTCGATATTTATTTACACTGAAAGAAAACTTGTTTACCATTCGGTTATTTGTGAAAAAAAGTTGCATTTGTATTAAATTATAACCAAAGGATTTAATGTATTAATTCAGTATGTTATTGTGACGACGATTATTTTATTATTCAGCAATGTCAAGAATAATTGATAGACTGTGAAAATCGCTGATAATATGGCCTATTAATTTTATAACCGCGAGCCGTTAATCACAATTCACAAGGGATGCCAAATTGTTAATTCATCAATTTATTTATGATCTTGCAGATCGAGTAATTAATGTTGCACGTGAGCTTGACCGGACATATTTCGATATCCAATCGTATCGGAGCGATAATTTTATTATGGAATTTACACGAGGCCGATAAATCTCGCAAAATACCTAACCGTGTGGCAATATCTAATCTACACTTATTAATCACACATGCTTCTTAACATGGCTTGATAATATTTCGCTGGCACAATAAAGCAATAAATATGCAAATTAAGCGACTCGTGGTTACAAATACAAATTAAAATTTTGTAACTCACTTGAAATAAATAATATATTTCATTTTCTTTGCATTACGGCAATATACACGGATTTTTAAAAAATTATGAACTTTTATAGTTTTCAAATTTTAGATTTTATGCAGACATGATCGCATATTCTAAATTCCTG